GGGTTCAAAAATAGCTAAAAATGCTATTAAATAGCTAATCTGGCAACACTGCATACCAATACATGCACGAAAGACTCTTCGACTCAACCGAACGGTCGGACAGCAAAGAGAGAGAAAGAAGAGAGCCGATGGCTTGCAAGTTCGTTAAAGAAACGAAGCAATACTCTACTCACTGTTATGGCACGATTGAGTGAGAGCGTCTTGTAACAGTGCTTCAATCGCTTGCACTCAAAGTGACACTGTAAGTGTGAGTGAAACACACTCTTTTGCAGACATACAGAAACGGTTAACATTCATTAGCTATGTTAAAGCATTTAAGGAATTGAGTTTGCTTGGTTAACATTTTCATGAGTTGGTTTAATATCTAATTATAATTTAATAACATTTGTATAATTTCTTATTACAAATTATAACAAAATAATAAATAAATTAAATATAATAAAAATATTCAACAAACACATTAAAGTAGGCTTTACGTGTGCTAAAAACCCTCCCTCACAATAGTCGAAAGTTAATACACAACAGTTCTATTGATAGCTGCGCTCGGTTCAGACTCAACTCTAACAAAAGTTAAAAAACGTAAAACTGTTAGAGAAACATAAAAGAAAATACAAATAATGGCAGACAAACGACGTCAGAGTACAAAGCAACGTGGCTCAATATAGTAAGTTTTCATATCACATCGCATTCGATTTATTAGTGTTCAATTCGTTGTGGGCATTTTCAGCACTGCGGCCTACGAGGGCGACTCATTTGTGCAGCATTTCGAGAAGCGGGGCGCACGTGAAGTAATCATAATGGATGCAACGGGCAAGCCGTTGCGGTCCACGGTCAGCCAGAGGCGCACCTTTGTCTATGCGGCCCAGCTGCATCCGTTGGCCAAAATGGCACGCAACGTGGTCAGAGACCTGGATCCGGCTAACGATGTTACCTTTTTGCGTATACGTTCCGAGACGCACGAGGTGCACATGTCGCTCAATCCCGAGTTCATGGTTGTGGTCATACAGAAACTGAAATTACGTAAACGCTGAAACAATGTTGAAGAACAAGAAGAGCACGCGATGTATGTGGGCGTGTGTACATTCGTGCGTGTGTGTGTGTGTGGGTGTGGGTGTATGTTAACTTTAACAGAACAGATTACACAGTGACAATGTCAAGAAACAGATTATGTTATGAACACAATATATAGAGACCGTCGCATTTATTAAATTCACGTTAGGCCTGCATTTACAAAAATTCTTCTCATTTCGATAAACGCATATTACGTATACGTCGCTCACGCATACGCCGATTGCAACATGTTAAACGATTTACCAGCCCAATAGAACGTGCTTTGGCAATGCAACAAGCCGTCAATTATGCAGAGGCTTATTGGCCACGCCCACATCTACACACGCACATTTCTCTCATGTCTCTCTCGTGTGTGGTTGAGTTTGACTGAGTCACAACTCGATAGATTCACGACAGATTCATTAATCGTTGCAGCTGGGCCTGTTTGGCTTTGTATGGAGCGTGGGGCTTCATTAAAAACCAATCTGTAGTCCTTGCTCTTGCTCACTGCAAGTGTTACAGAGTTGCAAGAGATCGAAACTCGTATCAAATTGTAGCATCTAAATTTCTTGCTTTCATTGTGGATTATTGGCAATTAAATACACTTGTTTATTGCCTGATTATTGTTCCACATTTTGCTGTTCTGCTGGTTATTCATATACCCTGTATACCCTGTGAAATGTTATCTAAGGGAGTATGTTGAGAATCGTAAGTTGTATAGATATATTTATATTGCATTTGTCTGAGTTGAGACTGCAAAGAAAGCGAATAAATTTATTTAAATAATACGCTTTATATATATCCTTATATATTCCATAAATCAGAAAATATTGCCTATTATATTGTCAAATATATATAAAATATGTTAATAGTATAGTATAGTATTGTTAAATATTTATAAAATATGTTAATAATAAGTAGATAACTTCTCTTGATTTACTTAATATTTATAATTCTCCAGTCAATGTAAGCTGCCTTAATTGGCTACTCTCATCTTAACTAAATATTTACCTCATATACAGGGTATTCATTAGTCGCACTGCCCTAAGCAAAACCCCTTTTGTTTATTTGTTATTTTATTTTTAGCTTTTAGGTTTGTGCTCCATTCGCATTATTCATTTATTGCAGGAAGCTGTTCATGCCACAAAATGGCGCGTGCCGCCTACGTCAAGTGGGCACACATACACACACACACACATACATACACTCTGAGTGTTTGTGTAGCCATATTGGCTTTTGTTTTGCATTAATTTATGCATATTTATTTAACATGTTGCTTTTGTTTGCCGTCATTTATCTGCCGGCTTTCAAATTGCATTTGGCTATTGCTGTTATTGTTATTGTTGTTGCTTTTGTTATTGTTTCTGTTGTTGTTTATCTGTACTATTCACATATGTTTTGTAGCCTTGTTTGACCATTGCATTAGCGTTCGGCAGGTAGAAAGAGAGAGAGAGAGAGAGAATATATATTCAGCTGCGCGCAGCAAATAACATTTAAAATATTTTTATAACAAATTTAATCCCCTGACATTATGTGCCGCCACATGAACATATATATATGTATATGCATATTTGAATGTGAATAAATAAATGTAAGCCAAGAGTCAATACAATGATGGTCCATAGTCAAATTACCCAAAAATATTTACACATACTCTGTACGAAAAGCGAAAGAGAGTTTATTGGCTGCTAGAGCAGATCATTTTAGAGGTGATTAATATACGAAAGAATGCCACAATTGTATAAAATACACAGAAATTCTACATATATTCATGTTGTAGACTCTCTTAAGAATCTCTAAAGATATATTGCATATATAATTTTATTTATTCCTTTTTTTTTCATTTAAGTGATTTTTGTTAAGGTTTCTTAATTGATAATAATAAATCCTAAATAGTTATCGACTTTTCGAAACTAGCTCGTTCTGCGCATGTTATACAGGCACCTATAAGAAATATTTCCAGTCTATAGTTCTTATAGTGTCTGAGATTGAATCGTTCTTTGACGAATGGGCGAAAAGAGCTAGATTGAGTCAGCTGGGAAGAATCTATACATACATTATTAGAGCTGCCACGCCTTCGCCTGCCTATCATATACATTTTAACAAAACTATTAAATATCTCCACTTTTCCCACATCTCCCGTTTTAAACGCGCTCAGGGTATACAAAAAATGAACAGGTATTGCTCAGTCGATGACATCCAATGCATGCGATTATTATTATTTTTTTATTTAACCAAATTGGTTTTTGCCTCATTTCCAACGGGTGCAAAACGACTGTGTAAAATGCTGTAATTAAAAAAAAAAAATAATGTGAACTGCATGCTTAATTAATATTTCGCATATGGATTAAAAGTCGGCAGGAATTCGTCAGCAGAGGGCGAGGGAGCTGCTGCTCTCTGAACTCTTATCCCCTGCACTGCAGAGAGAGCTCTCATTTATCATTGGCCAGGCAAATGGATAAAAATAATGTTCAGCTCCGACTGACTTTTGAAGCGGTAACAACGTGATTAAGTGCACAAATGCACTGTCACATATGTTGACATTTAATTTATACGATTCCCAATGTAAAGGTATACATGTGTATGTGTGTATATATTTATATATGTATGCGTGATGTTGACTTTTCATGAATATTCAAGAGCCATCAATCATATTAAATCTGAAATGTGCCCTTAAAGCACTCACTTTGCTCGCGTGCGAATAGCTTTTGCCCCACTGTGCCGGCGACGCCTTGAATGACCACGACGGTGTCGATTGGAAATCATCAAACTTGACATCGGATTCCGGCTGCTGACGTTGACTGTTGACTGCGAGCCACAGCATCGCCGGCGGCTCAATCGGAATCCGCGAATTCGCCGTCTGACGTTGATGGAACGTAAAATTGTGTGAATGCCTCAATGGAGATTTACACGGTTTTCGGCTATTTTCGCAGACGTTGACAATTCAATTGAGCCGGGCCGCCCAAGTGCGGCAGACATCACGCATAATTCTATATGAATCAAACATATTTGCCTGCATAGCTCACATAGTCTTTAGATTTTCAATATATTATTTCATATACCCATTCCCGAAAGTAAAGTGAGTATATTGGCTTTGGGCAATGTCTGTCTTGCAGTCCGTCCATCTATCCGAATGCAAACCATTTAGATTTTAGAGATTTGAAATAGAAAACATGTGATATATCTACGTCAATTGGCTCATGAATAAGTATTCTGCCATCGCTACGTTCTTACTTGTTCTAATATATTTTCTTTATTAAATACTGCAAGTAGTTTATATAGTACATTTATATGACTATACCAAATAGTTTTCTCCTCTAAAAAAAATCGCTCGTCTCTTAATTACTTATCAAAGGACGCTCTCATGACTAATTGAATTTGTCATCCTGTTTATTTACACAACTGAAGTCGACTGCAAAATGGCAACACGATGGCCATTCAGCAGCATCCGCTGCCCACCAGCTGACCACCTCTCATGTCCTGTGCCATTGTGCTTTACCCACTCACCCCCTCACCCCTCACCCATTCAGCTTTCGCATGTGACTAATGGTCTTCCCTTTGCCACATTTGCGGAGCATTCATCATGCGAGCTGTGGGCCGTTCAGCATGTGTTGCCCTAATTAGTTGCTACGACCAAAGTACGCGCTGATTAAGTTGACGTTGGCCATAACAAATGGCAAAGCATTTATGAAACATTTTTATTTGCAAATTACGTAAAGTTCAATTTGCTATTGATTGCCTCAAATTTGAGAGAAAAAAAAAACAAAAGAGAAGAAAATGAATAAAGATGAGGCATTTATTTTGATTAGTTTAGGAAATATGAATGTTAAAATATATATACAAGATATACAAGATGCAGACTTGGCTAATAATGAGTCGCATATGACTCTTAGATCTTGAGCTAGCTTCCAGATGTATTGAAGTAACTCTAACTCAAATATTATATCAAAAGAATTGTAGTATATTTATTGTCTTAATTCAAAGGCAGCTCAATTTAAATCCAGGTTTTATGAATGCCCCACAAATGCACTTCTCAGAAGTGCATACTTGATTGTTAATATTAATTATTACTGAATTTACTTGTATTGAACTTCTTTCATGGACAATATTCATGTCTGTTCAATGCACTGCCTGAAGGACTTTTCCATTTCGCCTTAATTCAACAAAAGAAATAACACGACATTAATTAAACGATTTAAGCTCACATTCACACACACACACATACATATTCACACACATTCACACACTCACACACACACACATTGTTGTGCATTGCACAGCGAATGGCAGCGATCATTGTTTTAACTATTGACGTCAGCATTGCGGCATTGCGGAACAAAAGCGGCAGCAATTTACACTTTATATTAAGGCATTATTAATTTTAATTACATTCCAATTAAATCTCAATTACACTAGCCGCCTTCAGCGTCGACGCCTTCGAGTGTTGCGGTGCTCGTTTGATTTAACTTGGATGCAATTACCATTTAATAAACGACTTGATGCTCGATGCGTTGATGCGACTAGAGTAGTTAACATACTAACACACACACACACGTACACAGACACACATCATTAAGAGTGAGAGTCAATATTGCCTGAGAATGCATTTTAATTGCATTTGATTAATTGAATTTCGCAATTCATTGGATTTTCCTGACTAAATTTCCTTTCAATCTGAATTATGCAAAGTTAATCAGTTAATTAATTTCTCTCTTTTGGGCTGAAATATGTATTTTCTTACCTGCCATAATCCGAACGGCAGCTGCTCTGCCTTGTCTGCCATTTGACAAAGACCGAAAAGAACAGTTCTTAATAATGCCAAAAGTGCCGAAGGCTCTGACCATAATTACATGCAGTGGCTAAACGATAACATCAACTACGCATGGTCCAAATGAGCTGTGCAGACCGCACACACACACACACACACACACACACACGCACACACACACACACACACACACGCACACA